GTACAGTACATCTCTGTCAACTATTCTCCTCTTTTTTCTAGAATCAGAAGCTGCTGCTTGTATGTTACTGCACACATTGCACTGAGACAAAGAGCAGTCCTGGACATACGGCCACTGAGCATTAAAGCCAACAAATAGCATAACTCAGCCCACAAACGGAGGCTGAGCTCCTTTTGTGTCCCGCAGAATCCGGAGCTGTGGGCACCCAACACCGAAGCAGAAGCGCCGATCTCCTCCGGGCTGTGTTGGTGGCTTAGCAGAAAGTCAGACTGAAAGCAAACAATGACTGCGAGTGCCAACGAGCTCCTCGGCGAGACAGAGCTGCAGCAAAGCTTTTCCTTTATGCCCCTGGCAGTGGCAGCTGGTTCTGCCTGGGCACCACAATGGCATCAGCCACATCCCGCAGCGGTGGCACAAGGAATGGAACGGGGGATGCTCTGAGCTAATGGCACAGCCATTAGATTACCATTATTCTGATTTCTGAGAAATCAGAAACCATCATAAAAGTGGTGGTTGAGTTTATAGAGCTGGAGCTCCGAAACAGAACTACGGATTATGACAGGTTAATGGGGATTGTGACATTCCCTATACATGTAAATAAACAGTGAATTCGAGAACCTCTGTTTTCCCAAAGCAGCAGTAAATAAAAGTCTAACAGAGACCTCATGTAAAGGAACCATATGCTTATAATTATACAAACATTGTAGATCCCCTGTGTGAAATTTCACATCCTTATTGCTTCTATTTTAATGTTTACAAAGTTAGCCGTAATTTCTCAAAAACAAATCTGATCCTAAACAGGAAAGACAATTTCCTACAGAATTTTCATTTTCTGCCCCAGATCGAGCGCAGTGAGGACCGCTCCGACGCTACAAACACCCTCACTTACTCATGCCGCAGTTTGGTTCCCGACTCTGGGATCTGTTTGGATGCTCCAGGAAGGCAGGAGCTGCTCCCCTCCTCATGTCCATATATTACACTGTTCATTGGAAGCGAGAGACAATGTGGTTCCAATCTAGTATAGAAACGCAGAGAGTTTGCAGAGAAGCGCCGCTGCCACTGCTTCGTGGCAAAATAAAGAGCCGTAAAAAGCAGCAGCATCACGATGGGTTACATGGGTTACCCTGTTCCTTCCTCAGCTTTTCTTGTGAAATACCAACACAGAGGCAGAAGTGAAAGGAGCAGCCCTATGGCAGTCCTGCACCATGAGGTCCCCGGCAAGCTCCCACCACACCGTAACCCCGTGCAGTGCAAATATCCCTGCCAGAGCAAGGCATTGTGCAGCAGCACTGCCACGAGGAAGCAGAAATGTTCGGTATGCTTTAGCTGAAAGCAACAGGGGTCCAATTCTTCAGCTCTGGGTCTCTGGAAGAGGATTTCCATTTGCACATTGGGGCTGGCTGGGACCAATGCATCACTAGAAGGCAGCACATGGGAACCACATGGAAATGTTGCGCCCAATCTGTTGTGCCCATAGGAATCCCTGCATCCTCACTGTGTGGAGGATGCACATACTTTGCCTGGGTAGATTCACTGGTCATCATGGTAGAAGAGGATTTTACTGCACAGAAATAAAAATAAGTGGTGGACCATTCATGGATTGTTCATGTTAAAATAAACCACAGCTTCTCAGTCAAAAAATAATTTCAAAAAAAGGATTCAGAGGGGGTAAGGCTGGATCCAAACAGATCGGCTCTACACAAATGCCATTCATACATCTCTATGCAAATGCCACTCGCACATCTCAGCAAATCTCATAAAAGCCCACAAAGCAGAGATGCAATGAGTGCTGCTTGGGGCATCACATGTGCAGGGCTGGATTTCAGCCTCTAGCACTGGCCGAGTATTGTTGCTCACTTCGTGACTATAACAAGAGAAATCTTCACTGACTTTCCAAGGGTAAAAGAAATTTACCTTTGCTTGCAACCATCTCCTAGTTTTCAAGTGTTGCTTCTGGTATTTTGTCATTTATTTTTTTTTCCAAGATGAGCAAACTGACAGAAAGCAAAAAACTTGGAATGTGTGAAAGTGATGTGTTCTGGTGCAAAGGAATTGGGGAAGCTCTTCATAAAACTATGGCTCAGAGGGCTTCGCCCGATTGCTTCTGTTTAAAAGTATATCGAATAAATGGTTACACAATATCTATAATGCAATTATAAACTGAAAAGTGGCCAACTTTTATTGTTGAGAAAACCGGAAAGGAAATCAGTTTAAAAAATGCCATTATTCTTCTCCGGCTGCTGCTGTTACTCCACCACTCTCATTGTGCCGCTGCCGCCACTGTGCCGTGCACTGAGCCCTGGGGCCACTGCATGCTACTGGCACTGCTTCCCAGACCTCGTGCCCCCATCTGCCCCATACCATCCCACATCCAGACGTAGGGCACTGGCCACATCGCCAACCCCCAGCGGTGCCGAAAGCCCCGCTCCCACTGCATGCTCTCAGTCCGCCACTTCACTTAGCTCACTGTCAGGACAATTAACTGCATGCTCCTGAACAATGGCATTGTCTTCTGTGATGTCAATAGGACACCCTGAGCAGCGGGGCCTGACGCTGCCATAAACCAAAGAGCAGCATGGGCAGTTGTAGAGCAGGTAGGATTGAAGTCAGAGCAATGGAGGCGGCTCTCAGGACCACTCGACCCTTGCAGCTTTGCGTTAGTATGAAACCACCTTCCCCTGGGAGGAGAGGAGGCCGGTGGGGGAAAATGCAGAGAACAAAGGGAGAATGGAGAGACGGACTGAGAGACAAAGGGAGGAAGGGCTGGGTACCCGGGGAGCTGTAGGGGATCCTGTGATGCAGTGGGGCGGGAGCTGTGCGGCACAAGGGGACCACAAGGAGGGGATGTGGGAATGGAACAATATCAGAAAAGGGAAAATAGGACAATGAAATGCAGCGTCATAGAAAAGAAAGAGCCTGGGGGGCTCGGGTTGGGCAGAAGTTGGTTGGCAGAGAAGAAACTGGAGCTGGGCAGCTGATGGGAGATAGCAGCCAGGAGCGTGGAAAGAGCGGAGAGGGCACCAAGGGGGCAGAAGGAAACAAAAAGAGGAGTGATAAGGCTCCGGAAGGAACTGGGTCACAGCCAGAAAAAACAGCCAAAATGCAAAGTGAGGGGCGGAAAGGATGGGAACGGCAGAGAGGAGCAGAGGAAACAAAAGTGAGGCAGCAGAGAAGTGGAGCTGATGGGAGGGGAGGTGTGGGGGTCCCAGAGCAAGGAACCACAGATGAAAAGAAGGGGAATGGTCAGAGGGAGGATGGGGAGACAGGGAAAAGGCACAAGGAGCAAAAGCACAATAAATAAAAGGGGGTAAAAAAACAGGATGAAGCAGTGCAGGAATTGATTCTACAGAAACGTTGCCTCATTTTTGCACTGTCACTGATACTCTTTTGTAGCCCAATTTCTTCATAATTCATCTCCCAGCATCTCTCAGTACTTCTATCCTACCATAAAGCAGCCAAGACAAGGACTGGCCCTCTCGAGACCGAGTGAGCCCCTGCCCCTGGCATCAGTTTGATCCTTGTTGGAGCTGCCTCAAGAACTTGAAAACTGAGCCTCTCATTGGCTTTGGAGGTCCCCTTGCTGTTCCCATCTCCATTGGCACCCTTCCCAGGATCTGTCTATTGGTGGCCCCATGGCAAACCATGACCTAAAAGGACAGGTGCCTGCCCCCTGTGCCTCACCTCACCCTGTGTGCACATCCTGCTCTGGGAGCAGTGCCAGAGTCAAGGCAAGGGCAGGAGGGCTGCCCTCCCTGAGTGGAACATGAGAAGCAGTGAGAAAAAGAAAGTCCGAGGTATGATGGCATGGCCCATGAAGAACTACTGCTGATTAAGGAGCATTGCCAGGGATGTCAAGTTCCTTTTATTCATAATGACACATTCCCTTTATTTGCTATAGACAGAGCATTTGCTGCATGTCCCTGCACGTGTCCCCGGAGCTGCAGCATCTCCCACTGAAAGGAGAGGAAAATCCACCATTGACAGAACTGGGACAGATAACAGAGGTGGGAAGAAGTGAGGAATGGAAGACAGCAGAAGAAACTGGGGAGAGCAGAAAGGTCAGTGTGGGACAGAGGGCAACAATGGAGCAGAGGAGGAGGGACAGGACTCCTGGAGCAAGAGTGCAGTGGTTTGGAGAGGATGACGAGAAGAAGGTCGAGAAGCAGTAAGGAGTGAGCTGGAGGGTGGAATAATGCCAATTTGTCCACTTTGTCTATAGCTCTGAGCTCTGCAGCTGGATGCAACCATTTGGAAGTTAAGTCTTTCTCTGCAGGATGCATCTCTCTGAAAAGCTCAGTGCAAAGGGATGGGTGAGTCCTGATGGCACAGGACCCTGCTTGCTCTGTTGATCTCCCCAGGTGCTGCCAATCTGTCAGTGCTTTTCCCAGACCATAGGCCAATACCGTGCTCTTCTCGGGAGGTTCCCCTTGGGGGCAATTCTAAGGCAAAGACACCAGCCTGCAGCTCTTCACTCATGCACTTCCCCTTTCCTCCCAGAGCTCAGGCCCTGCCTTGGAGCTGCCTACTCGCAGGGCACATCTCCTATAGAGACCCCCACTTGTGACAAGTTCTGCTTCTGAGAACATAGCCACGGCAACAGGACCAAGCCCACGACCGCTGTCTGAGCACACCCACACCCGAAACCCCAGCCCCCGACTCGCTGCTCCCATCCATGCGGAGCGAAGGGCACAACCGCGCTCCTCGGCCCTGCCGAGCCCCCGCCGCCCCCGGCCGTCTCGGGCACCCAGCCCGCCCCGCGGGGCGGTCCGCGGCGGGGCGGTCCGGGCGGCGGCGGGGCGGGGCGGGCTACTCCGGGCCGGGCCCGCCCGGGTGCAGTCCCCGTT